ATTGTCAGAATAATAACCAATACAGCAAATAGACAGCAAAGATTAAACACTGAACAAGAGACCTTGATTGCCTTAACTTGGCAACTGAAAACTTGCTTCTGCATGCTTCCAGCTCCCTTGTGTTTCTGGTAATCAATTGATTTTACGCACAAGTTAACTAAAAGCATCTTGGGAGGCGTGATTCGTCCTCCTTTTGTAAGACCCATGTGTTTTGAAGGACCATTTGCCACCCCTCAAGGTCAGCATGTGTGTCTAAAATGTAATTTACGTGTGTAGTTGTTAAAACAATTAATTTTTATTAAATAACAATCATAGTAATAAGCAGTGTTAATACTCTTTTTTAAATGAATATAATTCAAATCCAGGATATTTGAAGCAGTTGATGTTAATAGTTCTACTTTACGTAAATGGTCTTAAACTTTTTTTAAATAAAGAACAACATTTACTTACATTGAAGTACAATAAATTACATTACTACCAGACTACTACAGAACTACTTAACATACATGTATTCAGCAGGCTATGAAGATAAAAATCTCATTACTACGAATCTCAGTTAAATTATTAATCTATTCTCTGGCATGGATGGCTTCCTTTTAAAACTAATATATTGAAATTGTTTCAATTTTATTTTTATTTATTTATTTATTTATTGAGGTTTAAGATTCAAAAGGTACTAAAGAAGATAGAAAACTAGGAAATCTTTCTAAGAAAACTACGAAAAACTTAAGAACAGAAGCTATTCTCAATAAATGGTTTTGAGGCCAGCATTTACGAAGTAAGAAAGCACAAAAGAAACTCAGCGAGAAAAGAAGAACAATGTTTGAAAAAGTTTATGATAACACTCAGGGTTTTCATCATAACCTGGTACCCAATTCAAGTCACTGGCTACTTCAAGCATTTGTGCTGGGTACTTTTTGTCACAATGTTTATTAATTAATACAAAGTTTGTTTTGCAAACTTAATCATGATCCGATCTTTCTGACAAAATAAGTGAGCAGGTGACAAACTAAATGGTGCGAGTATTCCAGGTACCTTTTGAACTTCAAATCAAGAGCAAATTTTGGTGGGCAATCTGAGCTGTCATTCAAACTTGCATGCATCAGATCTGAAGGGAGGTGTGCATCTTCCACGATGATGCAGAAGGAACATGCAGACTATGTTGTCTTTTAGTGCCAATGTTTAGAGCTCACATAGCTAAAAACAAATATTATGTGCTGTTCCAGTTTTGAACATGATAATAAAACAATCAACTTATAATGGAGCTGAAGTGAAAACAAATTGATCCAGCCCTCTACACCTTTTTGTTAAGGTCAAAAGTGCTCCAAATGTATTCTAATGACCGTTTGAAAGGTGTCTTAACAATAAGAAGCTTCAACAATGCAAGTGTTTGGAATTTAAGACAAATGAAAACTCAAAAAATCGAAGGAGAAATGAAATGAGATCCCTGATTTTGAAGTGATATGTCATGTATAATGTATAAAGATATCACCAGAAGTCGCCTCAATTCTTTCACCATAATGGACCTGATTCATCTGCTGCTCTTTTTCATTATGAAAACTAAAATGATCTTAATATTGAAACTTCTTTTTTCTTGATCTTGCTTAATTGAAATAATAATTGTAATGTTGCATGTTGATTCATGTTATTACAGTTCAAGTAAATAGAACTGAAAGCCAAACATGATACTACAGTATAACAAGAACCAATGGATGAAAAGGATTAAGTAGCATTGTAGACGTGAAATTTTAAAGAAACGCATCTTGCAATGAACAAGTTTTCATGAAACTGTGTCTACACTGNACCGTAATGGACCTGATTCATCTGCTGCTCTTTTTCATTATGAAAACTAAAATGATCTTAATATTGAAACTTCTTTTTTCTTGATCTTGCTTAATTGAAATAATAATTGTAATGTTGCATAGTTGATTCATGTTATTACAGTTCAAGTAAATAGAACTGAAAGCCAAACATGATACTACAATATAACAAGAACCAATGGATGAAAAGGATTAAGTAGCATTGTATACGTGAAATTTTAAAGAAACTCATCTTGCAATGAACAAGTTTTCATGAAACTGTGTCTACACTGTACAATGGCCTTCAACAAAATCACTTTGTGCGCTAAAAATGCAGCAGAATGCACCTAAAGGCACACATGTTTTCAAACTTTTCCAGGGCCAGCACCCCATTCCACTCCGCCCCCCATGCAGGAGGGGATAACCTACTCTGGCACTCTTCCCCCACATGGCGGCTTTTTCGTAACCCAATAGTGTTCCACCTTCATGTACTTTATGATTTCCTCCTGCTACTTTATTTCAATATGAAAACCCAGTACACTATAATATACACTAGCATAATTAAGATAGAAATCAAAAAAAATATATGATAGAGATGATTGTATATAGTGCAACCTGTACGAGTTAACAGCACAAAAAAACATAGCTGTGTAAAACTGTTCTCAAGCCATTTTAAAGGCAACATCAGTCTTTGATCATATAAAAAATAGTACACGCAAATAATAAACAGAATGGTACTGGAATGTAGCTGCAAATATGACATTAACAAGTAATATTATGATTTCAGTTTTTGATGAGCAGGCAGTTGAACAGGAGGTATTTGCCAACAAAGGTTTCTCACAAGTGAGTATGATAACATTATATCAATATTTTAGTAGCCACTTGGCTGTGTTCTGTTGCAAATCCCTGAATCAACCATTGGTTGGTTCTTTCATCATTTTTTAGTGCAGAGGGCACTATTGGGATGGTTTAGGGGGCTGCTGTTCGCTAAGACACTAATGCCATAAGGTGTAAACTTTAATGTTTGTTTAGTTAATTAATTTCAATTAATCAATTAGCCTT